ATCTTAATCTGGTACTTTATTCACTACAAAGGTAGAAGTATAATGTATGCGATGACTGTGTCAAGTGCAACGCACACAGTTCTGACAGAGTATCTTGAACATTACCTGAAAAGGTTTGTTACTCCTTGTCCGTTCACCCTTGCAGGTTGGTATGAAGGGGAGCGATTGCGGGATGGCGAAAGAGGTTGGTTTCCCATGGAGTGTGCTAAAGAAATCACATGTCGTGCCACGATTGACAAAAACATGGAACGGATGGGACGCTTACTTGGACTCGAAACCAATGTGTAGACTGTTTTTGCTTCTTCATGCTATGCTACAGGATTTGCACTAACTGCAGTCGGTGGGGGCATGGTTGCATGTCCTACAGCTCTCACATGGAAGATGTGGGTCACCAATGCGAAAAATCTAGTAACAGAGCACTGATGTTTTGGATACTCATCCCTTTTTGTTTTGCATTTTGAGCGCTCTGAAATGAAACCTGGGCTTGACCAGTAGCAGATTTCAACCAGAAGTAGTTTCTTAGCCACTGGACATCAGCCATGCATCTCTTTGACTCAAATTTCAGTTTCAACTTAAGTTCCTCCATCCCTGCCTCTTCACGTATTCTTTCTCCATCCGTTTTTGAGCATTTTTTACTTCTTTCAGAAGCGGAACTCTGTGTAGCAGTCTGTGTAGGAGACTGAACACCAGAAACCCACCCAATCCATTGAGCTGGAGGTGAATAGCAATATTGGGGGTTTCCCATTCCTAAGAAACTGCAGTGTTACATTCTCAGTACCAGAGAGTATGTTAATGGAGTACTTCCCGGTTGCGTCAAAATCTGTGTGTAACCTGAACTACACTAACCAGCCCTATAATTCATAAAGGACTACCTCTCCAGCACGAATCCAGGGACGTCCCAGGCTTTGTAAGAAGTAATTAGGTCACTCTAAGGAATGTTGGCAAAGCTGACACAAGCTCCAGGGAAGAATCTGAAGTGGTGGTGGTCTCTAACAGAGTGTGTTATTCAGGCAGCTCGGACTTTTTCTCCTTCTAGTGCTGCAGTGTTGAAAGGATTTCTGAAAGCAAGAAAGAGGTACCATATTCTGCAAAATACATGATTATCTCGTTCTCAGATCCATTTTAGCACAGGTATTTTAGAGGAGTATAACTGCTGGAAATGGGTCTGTTTTGTTTAAGTTTTTCCCATGTGCTTAACTAGGTCGTCATATTAAGTTATTGCTTCAGAGCAAGGGTTTTGATGGGGACTGCAGAAAACATGAAATACTTTGTTCTAGGTTTGGGGTGTTTGGTTTGGGTTTTTTGTCTTTTGGTCTTTCTGTTCTTCTGTACTAGAGGAGGTTATTTCCTGAACTGAACTTCAGTTTACCTACATCTTTAGCATTTGGTAGCATCATGTCGAATCCACAGGCAAAAAAAGAGGGAGAAGAAAGATCTGTAGAGGTCTTCTCATCTCCCGTGTATATAAATGGTAAGACCACTGAGGACAGGCTTGGAAGCCTTGATTAACTTGGTATTTTGTTACCTTTGCCTTCCCCTGCTGCAGTGTGACTTGATGTCATTGGATGCTTCAGGCAGAGAGAGAGAGAGGGAGGGAGAGTGAGTGATAAAATAGTACTCGGACCGTCCTTTCAGAGGAGCTCGCATTGGTGCTGCTTCACACCCGCTCTTCTCTGCTTTAGAGAAGACTTCTCACAATTGCACTACACACACAACACCTGCTAAATTTTTGCACCTGCAGTTTAGCTTTGGAATTTCACAGGAAAAAACCCAACAACCAATGTTGTGTGAACAAAATACACTCAAAACCAAACTAAATTTAAGTGCATCTTTTCTGTATATAGGTCTGACAGTCTGTATAAAAATCTTCACCTTTTTAAGGACCAGCTGATAACTCAGCAGGGTGGAAGACATGTTCAATAAAAATGAGAGAAAAAGTTGTAGTACAAAGGCTTTCTTCTTGTTGCATTCCCTATCTTTTTTAAAGGGGCTGTATGTTATTTTATATACTGTAATATGTTGATTTGATTTGTGAATGGATTGGATGTTTATAATATGTATCTCTAACAATTTCAAATATATTAAGGCGGCAATAATTTTGTACAAAAACGCTTACCTTGACAGTCTGACAGTGGTTATACAGCCTTGTAAATTAATTTAAGTGGACTGATAAAATAGTAATGAGAGAAACTGTAAATTGAACAAAGACTTATTTAACGTAGTAAAAAAACCTGCTAATATTTTAACAAATTTTATTGTACACAGGCAGATGTTTAACACATAACTGAATGTATAAATCCAGAGATTAATGTTATTCAGATTTTTTTAATACATTGTATATATTTTTCATACCTAGTTTTTCCAAAAATGCTGTAATGTTTTTTAAAGAAAGACATTTTTCATTTTTCTTATTGTCAGACACAGTTCTTCAGGAATTAAAGACTTCCATGATTTTATAGGACAACAATCAATAAAATGCTTTTAAATCCTTACTAAAAAAGCTTCAGTTTTTCCTTAACAACTTGCAGTTTAACAGTATTTCTTGCCATTCTTGTCAAAGAAATTAAATCTGCTCTGCAACCTGTGGCGTTTTAAATTTTCTGTGCTGTGAAGACAAATAGCACCACCACGTGTCCTACTTCGTCTGTCATAGATCCAATTTACATGTGCGCCCATGAACTTGGAGCAATGGCATAAGATGCAAGGCCTAGGAGAGCACCTTGTCTCAGTTAGAGACTGTAGCAGGAGAGGGAGATAGGAAAACAGTCACGAGTATAAGTGCAGGCACTGCTCAGCCATACCTGAAATACCCCTGTGCTATCAACACTGTTTACAAATTCAAAACACAGCACCATACACACTACTATGAGGAAAATTAACCAGTACACCCAACACTGGGAAAAGAACACGGAGGTTTTTGATACTTCTCTGCTTAAAAAAGTACCTTAAGCTACATGCTTTAAGCACAGTTGGGAAAGTATAGCTGACACCATTGCTTACACATTAGTCACATCATCTTTATAAGTAAAGCTCTGATCATACCAACCCATGGCCCCCTCCCCCAGTGTGCATTTCTTCTGGTGGTGGTCCTAATACCAGTCTGATCCTGATCCTCCACAATTTGGGGGCCGGGGTGGGGTGTGTGAGAACTGCTGTCTGTCTTTGATTTGTCCAACCAGCACTGCTATTCTTACACAGATTCTGCTATTGCTACCATTTCTTCTTTGCCCTGTGTTCTTAAGTAGAAATTTAGCCATCATTTCTTTCAAGTACTGCAAAAACCAAGAACAAGGAGAGTAAAACTGGTACCACCTGCCAGCCTTTTTTTTTCATGCCTTTTAATCCAACCCTGCCAGTAGCAGTGCTACTGCCAATTCTTCCTCAAGAGCCTACAAATTTGTAGAGCAGCAAACGTGGAGCAGCCCGCCCTACTTCGCTGTGGTAACTGCCCCTGCCATCGCACACCCCTCTGCCTGAACACCGAGCAGACAGGTCCAACTGGCCCCAGAAACACAGCTCCTCTCCTGGCTCTGGGCACCATCTTGCTTCCCCCTATATCAATCAGTTGCACCTGTCCCAGTGTGACACCCTGTGTTTCCAAGGGCAGGAGCCTGAGGTACAGCACCACAGTCAAATTATTTCATTTCCATTTCCACACACGTTATCACTAATTTAACTTCCTTTTCCCCCTTTGCTCCCAGGGCTCACCTTCAGCAGTGCCGTGGCACCCTGCGCTCCTGCCTCCTCAGATGTCCGCTCACCATCAAGTTGTGTGGTGCAGCCCGCAGCAAGGCCCTCGGAGGAGCTCACCACCCTGAGGCAGATGGACCAGCCGCCCCTCGTGCTTACCTGCCCCCCAAGCTCCTGGCAGGGCCTGGAGGCCTCCTGT